GTGGAGGACATCGCTTCACTGGCCCATGTTGATATTGTCATTGCGATCTTCCCAGGTGAGGCAGATTGGTTGCCGGCCACTGGGCGGCCACTTACGGCAGCTCTTGGCAGCTCATGCTGGCTGCCAGCCACTCACAGTAGCTTATGGCAGCCCACTGCAGCTTCACTGCAGCCTATGCTGTCGCCAGCAACGCATGGCAGCCCAGCTCCAGGTCGAGCTGTTGTTCACTATCTTAGCTGTGGAGGGTGCAGCGTCACTGGCCCTAATGTGGGATCCAAACCTGGGCCCTGCTGCTCAGAGCTGGCGTCCCAAGCCAACTCTTAACCAACGCTCCACTTGGCCAGCCCGTGATACTCTTTTTTAAAATTACCATTAGAGCCTGCTAAGGAACAATTTGGTAAATGGAGAATCCAGCATTTATTCTGCCTTTTCTTACATCTTGATGAGGAGAAATTTCGAACTGTAAGTAAAAACAGAATGATAGATTTGCACCATTTTGCAAACCTCAGTGAATTAACAGATTTAGAAATTAATCATGCCTCACTGTCAACATTTTAGAAGGAGATACAACCAGATATTAAGTGCCTCCTAATGGTCCTTCATAACCTCTTATATGAAATGTATATGCCAGAATTCAAACCTGAATCATTTTGATCCTCCAGCTCCAACTACCAGTGTATACAAGGTCAGAGAAACATATTAAATTATACTCCAGGAATGCAGTTAGCAAACATAGACAGTGGAAAGCTCATAGAACAGTTGACATAGCTTTGTCAATAAATTGCAAGGGAAATAGAAAGGTAGAGGAGGAATCCATAGGTTAAAAGAAATTGAAATATAATCAGTTACACCATATGGAACTTATTTTGGATCTTGATTCAAACTAACTTATAAAAATTCAAAGCACAACTGGAAATTGGAGCACTAACTAGATATTTGATAAAATTAAAGAATCATGATTTTTTAGGCCAGATAATGGTTATGTTTTATTGTTTAATATTTCATAGCTTTTGTGACTATATATTGAAATATTTGTAGATAAAATGAATTGATGTCTTGGATTTGCTTCAAAATAAAATGGGAGGCAGGAAATGGATGGGGTAGGTGAAGCAAGGTTTGCTATGAGTTGATTATTGTTGAAGTTGAGTGACATGCAGGACCATTATACTATTCTCTCTAATGTAGGTTTAAAAGTTTCATTATAAAAAGTTTAAAGAAATTGGCAAAAGTATCAGTTTTTGTTTGGGGGACCAAATAGTTATCTGAATACACTTGAAAAACAGATTAGGTGCTCAAAACTAAATTTTATAATAATATAAGACAAACAGTATAAAAAATAAAATGGAATGACTTTAATAAGTTATTTTATCATTTTTTCCAGTGTAGAAAAAACAAACTTATATACACACTACATACTATGATTTCAATGAATTCAAACTTAAAGAGTTAATAAGACATCTTTAATTTGGTAAAAAATGGAATGATATATGAGTACTTAGTCTAGCTACAGATACATTTTTTTACTATTGAAATAAAAGTCATAGAAATATTTAATAGTGGCATTGGTTTTTAAAGTTGATAAACATTTTAAAAATTGGTTTCTAGTGAAATACCGAAATATTAGACTATAAATAGAAATGAAGAACAATAGTTGGTATGTGAAAGAAATCAAATATGTTTCCTTCAGGAGAGAGAAAGAAGAAAAGAGTAGGTTGTTCTGTAGAAACTAGGGGAGTGTTCACAGAGGTCCTTGTCAGCATACCTGATCCCACATTAATTAAAATTCTGATCACTTAGTGGAGAAGGGAATAGAAACTGACATTTACTGGGAACCTACCCTGTTCTAGGACATTCTACTAGCCTGTGAGACAACAACAACAATTATTTCTAGCTTTCAGATGAAGAGATAGATGTTGCGAGAGGTTAAACCACTTGCATAAGCATCCAATGCCAGGTCTTCATAACTGACTGCTCAGAGCCTAAAAATTATAAACCAGTAAAAACAAATGTTTTATAGTTAATGATTTTATTATTATTTAAGATGATATTAGCAAACATGATACATTTATAACAAATTTTTTAAGGATGTGATCATAGTTATCTGTACCATTTCCATTTCTTGACAGGAAATTTGATTTTATTCACTGAAATTTACCTCTAGAAAAAGAGATTCAGATTTACAATATGTTATATTTTATTTTTCAGTTAAGGGGAGATAACATGAGATCCTTAGCTTGGTATTTGTGGATGCTCTGTACTTATAATAACTTCATAAAGATTAAATGACTTGATTATGGTTATTGAAATTGCCTATCTTAAAATCTTTTGTATTGGAAAATAGACACAGGCAGGAAGTTTAGTATAAATGGTCATGCTTTGTTTTGGTTTTGAAAGGACAAGTAAATCCCAGTTGTATTACCATACAATCTTTGTTGTAATTTTTTTTCTTTCTCTTCCTTTAGTGCTACAAAGTGATCATTTCTTACTCTTACTGCAAACTGATAATGTTCAAATAGGATCCACAGTCATGACAATGGTACAGAACATACTACAAATCAACAGGTGACTTGGTTTTACAAATATTTATAATTTTTTATTTTTTATTAGAAGCATTACCAATTTTACTCCAGTTTTGCTGAAATCAGTTGCATATGGATTGTACATGACACTTATTACCATTGTCTTTCAGAAAAAAATGAATATAAAATACCTTTAACAACTGAAAATTTGTTATTGAATTGGTATCTTACCTCAAAGCTTAAGATTTTGACCATATCTCACACTTAGAGAAGAAAAATTACTGTGATCTGAAGAAAAATTTGGGATCACAATAAAAAATGCTTAATCATATATTTGTTTAGCAAACTGCAAGCTCAGTATTGTGCCAAGTGCTATAGAAGGGCATAAAAGAAGTAATAGGAAATTTTCCCAGGTTAAAATGGAAAGGCAGAGCATACGCAGTTGAAAAAAATTGATTCTTTGAGTTCAGTGTGGACTTATTAAACATCTATTCTGTGCCCAGTACGTTTACAGAGTTCATTAATATATAAACCTTGTCTTCAAATAGCTTACAATGTAGTGGAAGAGACCAGTACACAAACATAATTATATTACAGTGTATTAAGTTATGATGTTAAAGGTGTGCACAGTGTTAGAGGAACTCCTAACCCAAACTGAGGGAAGATGCTTCCTGGAGAAGGTAACACCTGACATGCAACTTTAAAGATGAGAAATTATCCAGGAAGGAAGAAGAGAAAGCCGTATTTCTAGGCAGAGGTAACAACATAAGCAAATGCAGAGTTAAAAAAGAAAATGGCTGAGGGTGAAAAGTAGGTACAGTTCATTGTTGCCAGCATTTAAAGTTTGGCGTGTGGAGGTGGCTAGTAAGTTCTGCAGAGACTTAAGTCATGCAGAGCTTATATGCTATGTTAAGGAAACTAAATCTTATCCTGTAGCCAAAGGAGACCACTGAAATATTTTTTAAGTGGATAAAAATGGTCAGATTACATTTCAGTTATGTCACTTTGATCACTAGAGGAAAGATTTAAGGGGGACAAAACTAGACAAAGAAGGCAGTTAGAGGAAGAAACCATAATAATCCAAGTGAAGTAATAAAATCATGACCTTGGGCACTGGTACCAGGAGAATGGATTTTAAAAACTAATGAATTAAAATCATCAGGACTTCACTCCCACTTGTGATCGAGATGGAATAATAGAAATGGATTTCCCCTACTACCTGAAGAAAAACAAACACCAGGTAAAACATGAAACAACAGTTTTCAAGAAACTAGACTTCAGTCAGTCAAAGAAAGTGAGCCCTGCCTGAGAAAAAGGAGTGAACAAGGTGAACATAAAAATTTCCCTAACTTATAGCATTGAGAGAGTTTTCAGGCTGTGGTGCAGGGAGGGGCATCTCAGCCAGGCTGAGTTGAAGAGATAGAGCTAAGTATCTTAGGAGAATGGCTAGAGTTCACAAGACAGAATATCACAGAAGAGAGAGCCACACAGAGAAACCCCAGACATCTGCAGAAGGTTCCTTTCAAGTATTCAGTCAAGTACTGATTAGCACATGTATGGAAGGAAACTACCCAATGTCAGGGAAAACAGTAATCCAAAAGGATTAAAAGGAGTGGTACCAGAAGCTCACACAGAACCAAGAATATTGCCTGATTCTAATGGCCAAACTGGAAAACCTCATGTATAATGGTACATTGGGTAGAGTACTCAGGAAGCTTCTACCTCAGTAGTAGGGGGTAATTAGCACTATACTGAGTACTATTCTGGACCATCCAAACAAGAGCAGGACCCAAAAGAATCAAATTATTTGCAAGTAATTTAATTACATCTGGTTATTGAAATTGCATACATCTTAAAATCTTCTTTGTAAAGTATACAGGGCAGGAAATTTAGCGGAAATGGTCATACTTTGGTTAGGCTTTAAAATGAGAAAATCCTATTTGTGCCATCATAGAATCTTTTCATTGATCTTTTTTCCCCCCTTTTCCTTTAGGAATACAAAGTGATAATTTCTTGTACTCACTGCAAACTGACAATGTTCAGATAGAATCTACAATCATAACTATGCTTTAAAACATACTACAGATCAGCAGGTGACTTGGTTTTACAAAATGTTACTGATTTTTTTTTCGTCAGAAGCATTACCAATTTTGCTACATCATTGGTTGCATGTGATTTTTACATGGTACTTGATAATCTTTAACCAAAAGAAAAAAATATTTTTAGGAATACAAAAATATCTAGCATCCAACAAGACAAAATTCATATAAGTACCAGACATGCAAACAAGCAGGAAAATAGAACCCATCATGAGAAGAATCAGTTGATCAAGGCTAATATATATGTTATAATTAATAACACGGTCATTAGGACAGTTATTATAGCTATATTCCATATGTTCAAGATGTTAAATAGAGGCATATGTGTATATAAGATCCAATCTGAACTAGACATGAAAACTACAATGTCTAAGATGAAAAAAACACTAGATTGAATTAATATCAGATTAACATTGCAGGAGATTAGTGAATTTGAAGATGTAGTGTAGAAACCTATCCAAAATGAAACAGAAAAGTAATTAAAAAAATGAAAGAAAGAAAACAGAGAGGAGAGAGAGAGAGAGAAGGGAGAGAGAGAGATAAGGGAGAGAAAGAGAGAAAAAAAGAAAAAGGAGGGGAGGGAGGAAACATCAGTGAATCAGTAATGATCTGTAGCACTATTTCAAACAGCTTTATATGATATAATAAGAGTACCTAAAGGAGGTCGTACAGCCTAAAGAAAATATTTGAAGAAATAGTTGATGAAAAATTTCCAGAGTTGATGAAAATTATAATCTTGCAGATTCAAAAAGCTCATCAAACCCAAAGGACAATAAGTAAATATGAAGAAACTTCTACACTAAGGTACATTGTAATCAAAGTGCTCAAACCAGTGATAAAGAGAAAATCTTAAAAGCAGCCAGAAGATAAGGATGACAGCAACTTTCTCATCAGAAACAATGCAAGCAAAAGGATAGTTGAGAACATTTTAAAAAAAATTTTTATTATAGTTGACATACAATATCATATTTCAAATGTACCACAGAGAGATTAGACATTTATATACCTTATGATGTGGTTATCATAAGTCTAGTAACCATCTGTCACTGTGCAAAGTTATTACAATATTATTGACATATTCCCTGTATGTACACTACATTCCTGTGACTTATTTTATAACTGGAAGTTTGTAGACTGGCATTTTTAAAATAATGAAAGCAACTGTCAAACTAATATTTTATACCCAGTGGAAATACGTTTTAAAAACAAAGGCAAAATACTTCCTCGGAAATCACCAGCAGACCCACACTACAAGAAATGTTTAAGGAAGTCCTTAGGCCAAAAGGAAAGTAGATTTACACAAAAAGTGAAGAATGTCAGAAATGGTAATTATTGTATGTAACTGGCTAAGATTATTTTTCTTATAATTATATATGACATAATATAATGTTTGCTTCTACAAAAATAATGTATATGGGGATTTATAACATGTTAATAAAATGTGTTACAACAGTAGCATAAACTCTGGAAGGAGAGAAATGGAAACATTCAGTTTTTTGTATGCTTAAAAGTAAAAGGATGAAAAAAAAGATATACCATGCTAACACTAATCAAAAGACAGCTGGAGTGTCTACATTTATATCAGAAAAGGTAAATTTCAGAGTAAAAAATATTATCAGGGATAAAATTATTTATAAATCATACAGAAGTCAATTCATCAAGAAAACTTGTTTATTGACCTAATAGCAGAACTTCACAATATACAACAAATTGATAGAACTGCAAAGAGAAATAGACAAATCTACAAGTAAAATGAAAGTTGTAAATACACCTCTCTTGATAGCTGATAGGAAAGGTAGACAAAAATTAGTATGACAACAGAAGATTTGAACAACAATATCAACCAGCTTGACCTCACTGGCATTTTTAGAAACTCTACCAAACAGCAAAATGTACATTCTTTTCAAATGTAAATGGAATATTTACAAAGATAGACCATTTTCTGGGCCATAAAACAAATCTCAAAAGGATTAAGTCATACAAAGTATGTTCCCTACCCTCAATGGAATTAAATTGAGAATACCAAGAAGATCTCTGAAAAAATTCCCAAATATGTGGAAAATAATAATACAAATAACCCAAAGGACAAAGAAATCAAAAATTAAATTATAAAAATCATTTAAATTATTGGAAATGAAAATAACATATTCATATTTCTGGGATGCATCTAAATTGAAGCAGTACTTTATCCCAGGAATCCAGTGCTAGTGTAATATTGTAAAGTCAATGGGAAAATTTACATCACTAAACACCTATATTGGAAAAGAAGAAAAGTCTCAAATCATTGACCTCAGCTTCCACTTTAGTGAAGTAAGAAAAGAAGAGGGAATTAAACTCAAAAGTAAGCAGAAACAAAAAATGATAAAGATCGAAACAGAAATAAAATAGTAAACAAAAATAAGAGAAAAATCAGTGAAACCATAAACTGGTTCTTTGAGAAGATCTATGAAATTAATAAACCTATAACAAGACTAGGAAGAAAACGGAATACAAATTGCCAATATTAGGAATTAGAGAAGAGACAAGACAATATAGATATTAAAAGTATCATAAGGGAATAATATGAACAACTTTATGTTTATCTAGATGAAATGGACAAATTATTTGAAAGACACAAACTACCAAAACTCACTCAAGAAGCAATAGATAACTTGACTATACCTATAATTATAAAGAAATTGAATTTGTAACTAAAACACTAGACAGGACTAGACAGCTTCTTCAGTGATAAATTCTAAACATTTAAGGAAGAAATAATCCTAAACAAATTTCCAGAAAATTGAAGAGGTGGTAATACTTCCTAGTTTATTATATGAGGTCAGCATTACCCTGATACCAAAATCAGACAAAGACATACGATACTAATGAGCAGAGATGCAAAAAATTCTAAACAAAAATTTAGCAAGTTAAACCCAACAATATATTAAAAAGTTAATACGCCTTGAATAAGTTAGGTTTATCCCAGAAATTCAGGGCTAGTGTAATATTCTAAAGTCAATCAATATAATTCATATTACCAAACCAAAAAAGGAAAAAACATATCAATAGATGGACAAAAAACATTTGACAAAATTCAACATCTATTCCTGATTTTTAAAAATAAAAAGCTCAGCAAAGTAGTAATAGAAAGTAGAGCTTCCTCAGCTTGATAAAGGGCATGCAGGGAAAACCTACAGCTAAGATACATCATGAACAAGACAAGGATGCCCACCCTGATCATTCCTGTTCAACATTATACTGGAGATTTTAGCCAGTACAGTCAAGCAAGAAAAAAAGTTATCAATGTGGAAAGGAAGAATTAAAACTCTCTATTTGGAGACAGCACTGTCATCTATATAGAAAATCTAATGGAATATACAAAGAAGCCATTAAAACTAATAAGTGAATATAGCAAGGGTAGTAGGATACAAAATCAGTATAATAATATATAAACTTTTATATCCATCAATTAATACTCAGATCATTGGTTACCTGGGATTGGGTGCCAGTAGGGCAAGGAGAGAAGGACCACAGTGAAGGACCACAGGGAACTTTGAGGGGGGTGATGGATATGTTCATTATCTTGATTGTGGTGGTAAAACAAGTCAAAATTTATTGAATTGTGCACTTTCACTATGTGCAGCTTGTTGTATATCAATTAAACTTTAATGAAGCTGTTAAAAAAATCATCAGACCTTGGTGAGCATTTTGATATGGGATAAGATAAAAGATACATTCAGGTAAGACACTAAATTTTTGGTGTCATGTTGGGTAATTTGGCAGTGATAGAACCAAAAAAAGAATGTGTAAGGAGTTGATTTGGGGAGACAGATGATGACTTCAGTATTGGTTATGTTGAACAGATACATTCATTGGGCAGTGAAATAAGAGTCCATGCAAAGACTTGTAAACAAATGTTAATAGTAGCTTTATTTATAACGGCTGAAGACAAGGCGACTCAAATGTCCATTGATAGGTGACTAGACAAACTGATGTCTGGAAGAGATATGGAATACAGTTATAGATTCATGTGTCATCAGCTTACCAATGACAGTTAAAAACATGAGAGAAGACGAGCTCAGTGGAAAATAAGAATAGAGTGAGAAAGGAAATTGGCTGAAAATGGAATCCTGGGGAAATAACCTTTCTACTAGGAAGGGGAGCCAGTGAAGAAGACTGAGAAAGAATGGTCAGAAATCTGGGTGGAGGGTGGAGGGGGAACCAGAAGAACATTAAATCATAGAAGTTGAGTGGGTTGAGAATATCAGGCACAAGCTTTACTTTTTCTTTTGTACTAGTCGTTTATGTTGTTGAGTAAGAATCTTTTGCTGTCAGGTAAGCATCATTGCTATTATTCATTTTTCTACAAGTCACCTCTACTTTTACAGAATTGCAAAATATCCTAATCAATAGTAAGTAATCAAACAAAGGTACACACCCTTAAAAAATCACATACTCCTTAGGTGACTAAAAGAATACCCAGTAATCCCTTTTGACTACTTCTAAGTTTCAGATGACCTTTCATGATGTCAGTACTGCAAGAAAAGATTGTTAGTATAATGAAGGAAATACCAAAAGAAAGATAAAATTCCTCCATATTAAGTACTTGATAATTGAATTCCTATAGCATTTTTGTCTTCATGCGTCATTAAAGCAATGAACCATGTACTGTCTTGTGATTTTCCTCTTATTGTTGCCTCGAAGCTTTTGAATCATCTATTTAATATTTTGCACATTTATCTTTCCTCCACAATTTTATGGTAGATTTTTCTAAGGAAAGGGCCTTTGGCTACTTTTCATTCCCTGTTTTACCTATCATGATGCCTTACACACAGCATGAGTTCAATAAATATTAATTGATTTAATGTGCTGTATTCTTGGAACTAAGCTATACGTTTAAAAAATTGCTTATCTTCTTGGATCAGGCCATGTTGGGCATCAAATCGCTGAACCCTTTATGTTTAATTTGTTGTGATATCTATATATAAATAATGGTACATTTTTTATTTTGTTCTATTAGTGGTGATTTACTCAGAATAGAAGTGAAAACCCTGCATTCAATTTTGGATGAAGTTATTTACAAGCTTTTATCAACTCCTAGTCCAGTCCTAAGAAGTACTGCTACAAAGCTCCTACTATTCATGGCAGAATCCCATCAGGAAATTTTGATTTTACTGAGAATAAGTGCCTGCTACAAAGGTAGTATATATATTTTTTGGTTTTGTTGAAATTCTCAAAAATAACTATTTAATTGTTGGTTTGTGGAAAACAAAATTCCTGTGTTTTGAAAAACTCAATACTTGAAGTGTGTAGATAAAACCCCATCATAACATAACCAATTCAGGAGAAAGTCTTTATCAAGCTATCTTCATGTATCAACAGATGGCGTATGGTACTTCGTTGATGAGGTTACAATAAATATTTACTCCCCCTCTGACAAAAAGGTTGTGTATTGAATATACTAGTGTTATAAAATAATGACCAAAAAGATCAGAGACCTTACCAAGTCTAACATAACTGGAGAAAATAGAGCTGTGCTTGACAGATTAACAGCCCTTTGATTTTTACATCAATTAATAATTACTCTTGAACTCCATTACTGTCTTTCCTCAAAAACAAAATGTTTCCCTCTCTTCCAAATGAAATATATGTGAATAAAAAGTCATAAAATTTGAGGAGGAAAGGGTACAGTGCATTACCATTCTCAAATAATAGTTTTCATTTAATTGAGCATTTACTATGTGTCAGATACTCTTCTACATACTTTACATGCATTAAAATATTTAATCCTCATAACAATCCTATGAGATATTCTTATCCTCATTTTATAGCATTGGAAACAGAGCATGGAAAAAATAGGTACTTTATCCAAGATCACACGGATTTTTTTTTTTCAATTGCCACGCAAAGTTACATGTTGGCTTTGTTTTATTTCTTGGCTAGCCAATCATTAATTCATTATAGTATATTTTTTGTACAACATGGTGAGCAAATAGTTTCTAGTTT